TTTCTCTAGGGGGTTATTCTCTTTAGGGGTAATACTCTAGAGAGGAGATATGCTCTCTCGACCTCCCTCTAGAGGAGACCCTTCCGCCAGCAGTGGCCTGAGCGAGCACTTGCAAGGCCTGCGCCTTCACCTTGCGTCCGCTCCTTTCTCGTGACTGGACGTGTCGGTTTGATGGCGAGTTCCTTCGTCAAGAAAGGCGCGCGCTGTGCGAGTTGTCACGTACAGCCGAGCGACTTAACCCCGTGGTCACCCGTGACCCGCCACCGGCGTTGCAGATTCACCTTGGCCTGCAAAGCCGAATCTTGACGAGCCCCGGCTCGCGTTCGATTGTGGGGGCAGCGGTGGTTGTAGCGGTTATCGCACTGCGCTACGAACCCGGCGTACCCTTGCTCGATTGCTGCTCACGGCCACCACGGGTGAGGATTGTCTAAACCGGTGCTGGGCCTCTCCTAGGTCGACTCGGCCTCAGATGAGTACCTGGTGGCGGTGTGTAAACATCGGCACTGGGGAGGCAAAGGCGGCCGGGCGTGGTGTTGTCCACCCACCACCCCCTCGTGTGCTGTGCCGGCCTTCATAGGTGCTGCTCGCTCACAGCACTTGCCCCAACAGTCTGTTGAGGCTATACGGGGGATATTTGTCTCTGTTGTTTTTTTTTAACGTTCGATTTCCATTGTCGGTGCACCTCCAACGAGCGAGGTTGGCGACGTACGGCGCGAAAAGAAGTTGGACATCTTATCTTGCCTCAAGCGTAATTTATGTGGTGTCTTAACCAAGGCGCTTAACGAAGCATTAACAACGGGTGCAAAGTATGAATGTGCATGGTGGAGGTGATGTGAATATGAAATAGGTGAGACAAAGCAAGGGGGGGGGGGGGGTGGGGGCCCGTCTGTGATGCTGCGTGAATTCGGTGGAAGCGAAGTCGATGACACTAAATGATGACAAGCGGAATGGAATGAATGGGGGACGAGTGATAGCCAGGTACATGACGCACGTGATCCAGGATCTCAAGCGTCTCCCTTTTTTTTTCTTCGCTACCCATAACCTTTCACAGTTCACCTTCAGGGGTCGACACGCAGGCCGCTTTTTACGAACCCGAGCTCAATTTTTCCCCTGCTCGGCTGAGCCGAGCTTCCCAGGTCCCCCGAGATCGCAGAGCACGCACGTTCAGGGAGGACCCCCGCCGTCGGCGAGTGGGGCCCGGCAACGCGGGAGAGCGCCTGCTGTGTTTACGTAACGCGATATCCGTGGACGCTTTATATGGCGACGTTTAAAAATAGGGGCCCGTCCGTCAAGGGGTATTCTTAACACCCCCCCCCCCTCCCCCCCACCGTGCGTCGTCAAGGCCGCGGCGGAGCGGGATCAGGAGCGGGATCGGGAGCGGGATCGGGATTGGGTTCGGGAGTGGGAGCGGGAGTGGGATCGGGATCGGGATTGGGAGCGGGATCGGGAGTGGGAGTGGGAGCGGGTTTGGGATCGGGAGTGGGATCGGGAGCGAGTTCGGGAGCGGGTTTGGGATCGGGATTGGGAGTGGGATTGGGATCAGGAGCTGGATCAGGAGCGGGTTTTGGATCGGAAGCGAGAGCGGTTTTGGGATTGAGAGCGGGAGTGGGTTTGGGAACGGGTTTGGGAGTGGATTTGGGAGTGGGTTTGGGAGTGGATTTGGGAGTGGGTTTGGGAGTGGATTTGGGAGCGCGTCAACGTGCCAGGGGGGGGGCGGGGAGGGGGGGGCCGTGCGGCTCCATGCGTCACAACGGCGAGGGGCTCCGTCCCGACGAGTCCCAGCGACGAGTCCCAGCGACGAGTCCCAGCGACGCCGCGGCAAGAGCGGCGGCGGGGTCCTGGCGGGGTCCTGGCGGGGTCCTGGCGGGGTCCTGGTGGGGTCCTGGCGGGGTCCTGGTGGGGTCCTGGCGGGGTCCTGGCGGGGTCCTGGCGGGGTCCTGGCGGGGTCCTGGCGGGGTCCTGGCGGGGTCCTGGCGGGTTGTCGCGCCGCAACAATAAACCCGACGACCTCGTCCCGTTCCATTCTCGGCCACGGCCAAGATCGGCGGTGAGCGATATCAGAACCGGTCCTGTGGCCGCCCTCCTTCCCTCGGTTTCACCAACCAACACCGACCAGCGTGGCGAAGTATGGCCAGGCAACCCCCCACCCCCACCCCCCCATGTCCCACACGGGGTGGAGGAACCGCATCAACAGGGGATTTACAACAAGGCGGCACATTTGAGATTGATTTCGGGCGAATGACTGAAATTCCTTCATCAGCCATTCAGAGCACTCGGGGACACATTTGAATTGTTTGACAGGTAAGCCTTGCCGGTTTTAATAGGCGCTTGCAACAGCACTTGCCCTGGCAAGCCCGTGTGGCAGAACGGGGTGTCTTTATCTTTGTGTGCGGTTGTGCACATGTGTGCGGTGTGCGTGTGTGTGTGCATGCATCTCAGTGGGGAGCAGCAGTGTAGCGGTTAGCGTGCTGTGCTACAAACCCGGTGATCCGAGTTTGACTCGTGCTCACGGCCAATAACAGTGATGATTATCAGAACCGGTCCTGGACCTCCCCTAGGTCGACTCAACCTCAAATGAGTACCTGGTGCGGTGTGTAAACATCGTCACTAGCGAGACAAAGGCGGCCGGGCGTGGTGCTGGCCACCCACCCCCTCGTGTACCGTGCCGGCCTTCATAGGTGCTCGCTGACAGCACTTGCCCAAAAAGTCTCTTACAGGCTATATTGGGGACCTTTGTCTTTGCGTTTTACCTGTGTGCGTGTGTGTGTGTTTATGAAACGGCACGCAAGCACTCAATAAGTCCTATGGTGTTGTTCCATTATTGTGGTTATTGTGCACGGTGAGGCCATCATTGTCGCGATAGTAAAATAATCGGCGGTTCACTCTTCCTCATTGTGGGGCTGTAAACGAAAGGTCGCGGTTCCGCCGGTATCTCTGCTGGAGGTAGCCCCTTTCATGTCCCGCCGTGCGCTGGGTTTAAAGATCGTGGGTTCAGCGGACAAGTTTCCACGTTGACGGGGGGGGGGGGGAGGGGGGGGGCAAATGCAAGCCTCTACTCGCGTGGGTGAGGATTTTTTTTTACCTTTTGCACCGTAACTTTCTCGTCTCCCCCCCCCCCCACCCGAGCGTTAGCGGGACGGCAGCGTCATATTTCGCGACGTCATTTTTCTGCCGGTTTTGCCGACGTCAGGTGTGAGCGCGGCAGTGTCTGGGGGGCTGCGGGACGTGGGGGTTGTGGGGGGGGGGGGGTGGTTTACGGCTGTCCCAAGCGGTTTTCCCGGCGGTTGCACCACGCGGATTTTCTTTGGCCCCCCGGGACGTCGCGCGCCGAACGGCAAAACACCCGTACGGCGCGGGGACTCGGTTGACTCGACCGGGGGGAGCCGTACGGCACGGCCACGAAAACCACCCACGCCGCTCGTAAAGAGGCCGGTGCCGGTGGCGGTGGGGGTGGCGGTGGGGGCGGCGCTGGGGGTTGCCAGCGGCGATGCTGAAGGGGCCCGGTGTGCTAAGTACAAAGCTCGTGGCCGAGAGAGAGCGAGAAAACGTAGCCTTAGACAAAAGAGGTAAAAGTACAAATGCCTTCGTCGCGTAAAACCTTCGCGAGCGTTTGGCAAAGTCGAGGCCTCCCCCGCTGGTCCGTGTGACGTCTTTTGGAATCGTTCGCCTCCGGCCGTCCGGTTTGCCGCCGTCTTGGCACGAGCCAAGGAAGGCGACGGACGAACGCGGGCGACTTGAAACCCGGAGCTCGTGGTGACGGGCTCCGGGTTGGTCTCACGGTATTGGGGCCCCCGGCCATTGCTAAACTCGGCAAGATTGTCGCTGGCCCTGGGGCATTTTTTTCCCGTTTCCCTTGCCAACGGCGTTTTCAAGAGCGATTCTCGCCACCCCGTCTGGCGGCTTTCTAGGACGAGGTGTGAATCCAGGTCTCCCGGTAATGATCCTGTGCCGGTGTACTCCTCTCGAGGAGCTTTAGAGTGGCCCCCAGTGCGACCTGAGTCCCAGTAGGCCTCGGCAAGGTAAGGTAATTTACCCCTTTTTTTTACCGGGTAAAAGGGTAAAGGTAAAGGTGTCGACATGCCAAGGGTGAAGGTAAAGGGTAGGGTAACGGTAGCGCGGAAGAATTACCCGGTAGGGTAAAGGTAGTGCAAAGTATTGCCTGGTACACACCTTGTTTACGGTACACACCTTGTTTACCGTAAACACCTTGTTTACCGTAAACACCTTATTCTTAGTTCTTTCGGTAAAGTCACGTTGAAGGGAAACAACAAAATAATAAAATATATATAAAACAATAAAAATTCTCACGACGTTTCGACCATAACTCAAACGGTCGTCTTCAGGTGTGTTGGTTTGTGTTATGGTCGAAACGTCGTGAGAATTTTTTATTGTTTTATATATATTTTATTATTTTGTTGTTTCCCTTCAACGTGACTTTACCGAACGAACTAAGAATATGAATTACTGCAGTCACGAAAGCTTTAAATCAAAACGTAAACACCTTGTTTACCGTAAACACCTTGTTTACCGTAAACACCTTGTTTACCGCTCGCTAAAAGCTCCGTGGCGCAGTCCGTGGCCTCAATTTAAAATTTGAATCATCGGGAGTATTCTATAGATGAATAAAGCGCTCTACCTAGCATTTACCTGTTATAAACCTTTATCAAGTGTATTAGTACCCCAGTAATTACCCTGTAATCGGGTCATTTGTATGGGGCAAGGGTAAAAGGTAGGGTAAAGGTAGGCTCGTTGTTTTTACCTCTTACCTTACCTTGCCGAGGCCTAATTCCCAGTGCGCTTTAAGGAGCGCCTGTTTCAGTGCGCTGTGTGTATGTATGTACGTTGAACTTCTTGTGCACCGTACGTAGCAATCGCTGCTAATCGGAGCTGCGTGTAATACTGAGTCTTCTCGCACGGTATTTATGACATCTGGCCACTTGTCTGCTGCGAGGAGTTGGCCCCCGCGTGAACCAGGGATGCGTTTGTTTGGCCCTGCCCAGGTCCTCGAAGGCCGTCGGGGCTGGCCATGATGATGGGCTCGTCCTCCGTGGCCTTTCCGCCCGAGGCCGGCTCGGCGGGGATGCGGTGCTCAGAAGGGATCCGGCGAGGCGAGGAGATTTACATCAACAAGTTGGCCATGGAGCAGGTACGCGTGGACGCTCGATGCCCGCGGACGCTCGCCACGCGTGGCCTCTTTGATTTGTGCTTACACAAAATGAAGTTGAGGTGTTAAACTTTCGCCGCTGGCGACGGAGTGCTTGACCACGCTTTGTCGAGCACGCCGCGAGGGCAATTCACGGTCGTGTTTGCAATCACCCCAATCCTCTTGTCGTCTCCGCAGGATGAGGAGGACGAGGAAGAGGACGAGGAGAACGACGATTGCATTCAGCACCACCACCACCGCCTCCACCTCGTCCCGGGCGCCACCACCTCGTCATCCACCGACGCGCATCGCCCGCCACGGATGCTCGCGGTGACGGCGATGGGAAGCCCCGACGACGAGCCACCCGACGGGGACGACCGAGCGGGCGACGATGGCGGCGGCGAGTCGCGGCGCCGGGCGGACCGAGCCGCGGGCTCGAGGGGGGCGACCGGAGGCGGCGACGACGATGCCGCCGCCGTCGCCGCAGACGACGAAAACGACGACGACGGAGACGACGACGAAGACGACGAAGACGACGACGACGACGACGAAGAGGGCGGCTGCGACGCGAACGGGTTCGGGAACGCGGCGCTCCGGTTGTCGCGCCTGCGGATGTCGATGCGCTCGATCTCGCCGGGACGGCGCCACAGCTGGGAGCCGGCCAAGAAGCGCGCGGTGGTCGAGTCCAAGAGACGCAGGTGAGGCCACCGGGGGGGGGGGGCCCTACGGCGCGGCCGCCGGGGTGCCGCGCTACGCAACCCGGCGACACCGAGTTCGGTTCCCGCTCGCGGACAACACCGATTATATTGAAGGGGCCCAGGGCCGGTTCAGATTAGGTTCGGCCTTTGGAAGCATTGGCACCGGGGGAGGCGAAGACAGCCCGGTGCGGTCCCTGACCACGCCGCTTAGTCGTTTACCGTTGCTGGCAGTAATAGGTGCTCATTGACACGCTTGATAGACCGTATGGGGGGGGGGTCTTTGTCTTTGTGTGTGTGCATGCGTGTGCGCGCGAGTTTGCGTTTGTGGGGAGCGGTAGTGTAGCGGTTAGCACGCCGTGCTACGTAACCCAGCAACCCGAGTTCGATTCCCGCTCATGGCCACCAACACCAGTGACGATTATCTCAAACCAAAGCCGTAATTATAATATATTTTGTGGGGGGACACATCCCCCCCCCCCCCAATATTAAAATATGCTCAAAATGTCCCCCCCAATATATTGCTATAAAAAATAATAAAAACAACAATTTGCTAAACCTTGGCCACAATATCTGGACTTGTCTTCATATAAATCAATGCATAGATTTATGTTTATATGATTGTGGTTATGGTTGTACTTTATTAATCCCTAATCTCTGCCATTACATACAATGAAACAAGAAATGGTAAAAAAGTAAAAACAGAGCAATGTAATACAATACACTATTAGACGTTATTGTAAAAAAAATATTTTAAGGTTCATCCCATGCGTTCGGGAATTTTTAAATATTTTAGACGGGAAATTAGTTTTCAAATTGAGATATTCTTCTGGGTTGGGACATCCAGACACCCTGGAAGATTTGGTCCCCCCCAATCTTGACTCCATGGCTACGGCCTTGTCTCAAACGGTTCTGGGCCTCCCCCTAGGTCGACTCAGCCTCAAATGAGTACCTGGTGCAGTGTGTAAAAACATCGCCGCTGGGGAGACAAAGGCGGCCGGGCGGATTGGTGTTGGCCACCAAACCCTCTCGTGTACCCTGGCCGCCTTCATAGGTGCCACTCGTGAACAGCACTTGCCCCGGGGGGGGGGGGGGGGACCTTGTTCTTTAGAGACTGGAGGGGGGCGACAAAGGGGGTGAGAAGGGGGCCAGGCGGTGAGCCAGGACGGAGGGGGCAGGAATTGAAGCAATTGCAGTGGAGAGGAATCGGAGAGATTCGGAGAGGGGTGGGTCGGGGGTGGGCTCAGGAGGCTGAGATACTGGGCCACCGTCGCCCAGAGCCTGGGTTGGAATCTGGGGTTTCAGCCGCTGCCCGTCATTAAACCGGGAAGGGCAGCGAGTTGATGGTCTCAAGGCGCACCCAACATTTGAAACCTGGTTTTTCCACTTAACATGGCATGAATTTCAGCTTCTGGGAGCGTAAAACGTTGGGTTTTAATGGACATGCAAATTAACGCCGTTTGCGGGGGCAAATAAAATAAAACCTCGCGTGTGCCCCCAAGTGTGTGGACGAGAGGCCCTCTGAAGTGACTCGAGGGGTAGTTCACTGACGTCAGCTTGCAGGGGCTCTTCTCCTTTGCAAGGTGGCGATGCTGCTGTTTGCTCCCAGGATTTGCGACGCCCAACAAATGAGGACAAAATTGGGTTGATAAAATATGTGAGATGTTTTTTGGAGAAAAAAAAACAATCTGCCAATTCAGTGCGGTTACGTGTGTTGATTGTATCTTCAACCTGTCTTGATTTTATAGTTATTGCTGCTGTTGCATTGTGAATCCTACTGCACTGATAGTGTTTTTTCAATGACACGGTGACTTTTACGGTGGTGGTGGTGGTTGTGGTGATGGTTATGGTGATGGTCGTGGTGGTTGTGGTGATGGTTATGGTGATGGTCGTGGTGGTTGTGGTGATGGGTCGTGGTGGTGGTGGTGGTCACTGTGGTGGTCGTGGTGGTGGTGGTCATATTGGTGGTGGTCATGGTGGTGGTCGTGGTGGTCGTGGTGGCTGTTATGATGGTCGTGGTGGTGGTCGTGGTGGTGGCTATGGTGGTGGTGGCCCTGGTGGTGGTGGCCGTGGTGGTGGTGGTCGTGGTGGTGGTGGTCGTGGTGGTGGTCGTGGTGGCGGTGGCCGTTGTGATGGTCGTGATGGTGGTGGTGGTGGTGGCGGTGGCCGTTGTGATGGTCGTGGTGGTGGTGGTGGTGGTGGCGGTGGCCGTTGTGATGGTGGTGGTGGTGGTGGTAGCTGACGGAGCGACCGTGTGCCGCGTGCTTTTCTCGAGAGCAGCGCCAGCGTAGATGAGCTCGACAGTCACAGCGAGGGGGAGGAGGAGGCGCAGGAGGTGGAGGAAGAGGGTGCACGTATGTCCACGGTGGTGGCTGAGGAACATGGAGAAGAGGGGGAGGACGATGTGGTGGAGGAGGAGGAGGAGGAGGTGGAAAGAAAACGACGTTTGGCAAAAGTGGGAGGCACCGTTGGGGAACGCCCTCAAACGTTAGAGGGGCTTTCGCCTCCATTCGGGATTCTCCACGAGCACCACGACCTCTCACCGGCAAGTGTCACCCCCCCCTTCCTCTACCCCCCTCCTAGCCCCTCTCACCTCCATCTCCCCTCCTCCGTCCCCCCTCCTCATCCTTCTTTGACCTTTAAGTGGTAAACATAACTTCCAGAATAGCTGCATAATTACAGCATATTTCAAATTTATTTTCAAGATATGTAGGTATACACACACACACACACAGGGTCATCCATTTACAGACGCCCCACTCATGTAATAGTGGAAATTATTGTAAATGCACAATGCTGATTTCACTGTTGTGCGACGAGCACCGTCGGTGGCAAACATGGAGGGGAAAGCTGTCGCCCCCCTCGTGTGGCGTGGAACTCGGAGGTAGTTCTGTGCAATCTGCTTCTGCCGAGCCGTCCTCGAACATGGTTGGTTGGTGCACCGGCCTTCCCGAGATTCTTTGTCTCGCGGCGATAACACCACTGTCGAGATTGACCTGGGGATAAAAGAAATAAGTCTAAACAGGACAATCGGCCACTTAAGGTCGCTCCGCTGACCCTGCCTTGGGATTGCCGCTCCCACCCCGTCTCGCGGTCCGCAGGACGGCGAGGAGGCCAGAGCGCTGGGTTTGGGCCCAATGCCCTACAGGAAGTCGGCGATGATGCCACACCTCCCGGACCACGAGCCCTTCATTACTAGTGAGTGTTTTGCCTCGTTACCAGCTTGGAATGTCTTTAACGGAAGGGATTGGGGATCGCGCGTCTCCACTGCACTTCTAAATTGCAGTCGGGCAAGGGCCACCGCCGTCTTTGGCCATGTGACGCCTCTGCCATCTAGTGGTCATGTGATGCATCTGCCATAAAAAATTTAAATAATATATCGTTGGACATTCAACAATTCCCAGGGTCATGCCCCCACACGGTGTTTACCAAAATCGCTCTCACATAGCCCGCGTGTGTCTTCTCTTGAGTCTCTTTACTTTACCCAAAAACACCTGGGTTACGGTCTTGAAAACCGATAATTAAGCTTCCTCTGTGAAGGATGATGACTGTGTGCACTTTACACACGTGCGCGCTGTCCATAGCAATGACAAAATAAGAAGTAAATAGGACTGGTCCCAACCATAGGAATGTGGAATTTCCACCAATGGCTCATCGTAGATTTTTTTTATCCACACTAGGAAGCAAATCTTTTTGAATCCCCTGCCGAAAGTGGTCACGATGTTTTATTAATATTATTATCCTTATTTACCTAGGGAAAGCCTCACTGAGTCTCAAGACCTTTTCAGAAGAGTCCTGCCTCGTTGTCTCAGCGGTGGCCGACGATTGCCGTCCGTTTCCCAATGAAGTACATTTACGGGACAAAGTTTTCAAGTTTCTCGAGTTTGGACAGTGACGACGGCTCGCGGCAACGCCCGCCACTCTTACTCAAACGACATCGCGAGACACACGCGATCGTTTCACGGCGAACATTTGGATTAGCATTAGCCCGCAGTATTGACCACAGGCGCCTGCCAGGTTCGAACCGCGAACCTCTGCCAACGAGTAGTGGAACGCGCTTCCGCTGGGCCGCGTCGCCGTCGGCTGAACGACGAAGCAGTTTCAGCAAAAGCGGCCGTGTTGGCCTGGTAAAAAAAAAAAAAAACCGGCTTGACGGTCTCAGTCCGTTCACCGGTGACCACGTAAACGCGCCACCGTCGGGTTGTGTTTCCTGCACCTCCGATCGGCCGCGGTTTGGCCACGTACAGCGCGAAAGAAGTTCAACGTACACGCAAGCGTATGCTACCACTCGGACCGCCGTCGGCCCAGCCTTGCCGAGAGCCACCTGCGCAGCTGGTGGCTGGGCTGACTCACTCTTTCCGCGTCCGTTTGTAAATCACGGCGAGCAGTCGCTCGCTGCCGTCGTAAAGTAAACGGGGCAATGGCGCGTACGCCCCCCCCCCCCGCCCCGTCGAGGTGAGTTAGTGCGGCGCCCACGGGACAGCGCTGTCGCGTCGCCGCAAGCGCTCCGGCCAGGGTCGTTTCCGTACACCCGGCACGCTCGCGCATGCGCACGCTGATATACCCGTGTACACACATTGGTCAAACGATAAAGATTCCCAGGATAGCCTTAGCAAACTGCTGGGGCAAGTGCCGTTAGCGAGTAGCAGCACCTATGAAGGCCGGCACGGCGCACGAGGGGGTGGGTGGCCAGCACCAAGCCCGGCCGCTTTTGTCTCCCCAGTGGCGATGTTTACACACCGCACCAGGTACTCATTTTAGGCTGAGTCAACCTAGGGGAGGCCCAGGACCGGCTCAGATAATCGATACTGGTGTTGGCCGTGAGCAGGAATCGAGCTTGTGGCCCCGGGGTTCATAGCGCACCGCACTAACTATTGCGCCACCGCTCCTACATGCATACACGTGCATCCTCATTATTTGATCTCTTCCACAAGAATGATGATGTTGATGGTGGTGCTTGCAGCGACGATGATGATGACGATGGTGATGACGACGACGATGTGAAAGCGTAACTGCGCATTGCTAATCACGCGCGCGATTGTGTGGTCGTATTTTCAGAGTCAAGGTCGCGCAGCGTGTCGTATGTCCCATCACCCGAATGGTACGTTCGCCTCCATCTCAGCTCGGCTTTGCTGTCGCTAAAAATATGCACGCTCCTCGAATAACCTCTGTGCATTGTAGCTGATGAGTATTTTTCCCTATAGAGTTCTCTGTATTGTGTGAGGTATTTACATTTCTCCATGGTTCGTGTAAACAACAAATAGAAAATATTGGTTTGATTGTCATGCAACGAACATTATTCTCAGTTGCAGAGCGTGTGGCTAAATGCTGCCGCCAACACACAAAGGGATCTCAGAGATAGCTCCGTAATGTCTGCTTCCGGGGGCCATTGTCTAGCACGGAGGGATGCACTGCCGTGCGCGAGATCCATGTGGATGCTTCGGCCAATCACGTCTCACCAACGCACAATCAGAATAAAATTGGAAATATCCCACCAAAAAACGTAATAATAATCCAGTTTTTAGAGGACGTTACCCCGCTTTGGTATGGATTGGTAAGAGGTTTGTTCAACTGTTTCTCAAGGTGCATCTGTTGCCCATGTCTCTTCCCAGGCGGACGCAGTCGGCCACTCTTCCGTCCAACATGAGCCTCTCGTCGGTCGTCATGCCGCAGTAAGAACCGCATTGGGGCCCCCCACAAGGCCACGTGCTGGGCCGTGTGCCAGGCCGTGTGCCAGGCCGTGTGCCAGGTCTTGTCCCAGGCCTTGTATCAGGCCTTGTACCAGGCCTTGTACCAGGCCTTGTACCAGGCATTGTACCAGGCCTTGTACCAGGCATTGTACCAGGCCTTGTGCCAAGCCGTGTGCCAGGCCTTGTGCCAGGCCGTGTACCAGGCTTTGTACCAGGCTTTGTACCAGGCCTTGTGCCAGGCCGTGTACCAGGCATTGTACCAGGCATTGTGCCAGGCCGCGTGCCAGGCCGCGTGCCAGGCCTTGTGCCAGGCCTGTACCAGGCCTTGTACCAGGCCTTGTACCAGGCCTTGTACCAGGCCGCGTGCCAGGCCGTGTACCAGGCATTGTACCAGGCCGCGTGCCAGGCCGCGTGCTAGGCTTTGTACCAGGCCTTGTAACCAGGCCTTGTACCAGGCCTTGTATCAGGCCTTGTGTCAGGCTGTGTGTCACGTGTTCGACGCCGTCTGATTGCGAGAAGAGGTTACAGTCGGGTGCCTCTTTTACGATTATCTCGTCATATTATTCTGACGCCACTTGCAATCGCCGAATCAGTAAAATGACAATACTACTAATGATGATGGTGGTGATGATGATGTATTGCGTCGCTTTGTGACTCCCACTACTGGAGCTAAGGCCTCCACAGCATTCCGTGCTCACTGATGATTGCTGTGCGGCGTCCAGGACGGAGGATCCGGGAGTGGTCTCCCCGAGCAAGCCGGACGGGGAGAAGGCCGGAACCCGGGTGGCACGAACGTTCAGCTTCCTCAAGAACCGCATGACCAGCACAAAGAACCGCAACAAGGTGGGCTTGGCCGGGCTCTATCCACTGCTGCGTTAAGGATTGCCCCCCCCCGCACCTTGCAGACAGCGTTCCCGATTGGCCGTCCGTCGTCGGGTCTTGAGTTGTTTCCGCCGCCGGATAAAAGTACAAATCAGAACACCACGGCATAAACAGACATCAATTCTCATTCCGAATGATGGCAAATATAAGTCTCCAACGAAGAATGCATTGCCGAAGTGGGCGAGAGAGCTGCCGTGGCAAGAGGTTGTCCCACCTGATGATGGACGCTTGTGTTGCTCCCGAAACGTCGTGATTTGTTTTACTTATTTTATTTCTAACTACGTCACTTTACCGAAAGAACCAAAGAGCATGGATCCCTGCAGTCACGAAAGCTTCAAATCTAGATTGAAGAATTTATTCATCTAAATCCGGGGGTTGGAAACCTGCGGTTGCAGAACCGCATGCGGCTCTTCATACCTGTCAACGCCTTATCAGTGGCCTACCTTATTACTACAGACCAATTCAGACCCTATTGGTAACCCCGTGTCCTTATAAATCTCAACGTTCATCCTACAAAGTCCCATCGCAAGGGAGAAACACAAACAAATAGACAAAACAATGGTTTTGCCCTTATCGAAACAGCTGTTACCCCCGTGTGGGCCTGAAAACTCAATTTCCCTGTACAAGAATACGAGTAAACTGTACGGGTTGACAGGTGTGGCTCTTTCAGGACTGTTTCGTGACATTATTTATTAAGGACTCGCCGTCTCGTATTCACCACATGCATTGCGGCTCTTGAAATATTGAGGGTTTTTTTTTTACCGACTTCGAATTTTGTTTAGTGTTCCTGTTATTTTGGTTGCAGAACCCTGATCTAAATAACGGCAACGTCTACCAGTAGATGGCCGCGAGCACTGTACGCCTATGCTGTCGTGATTTACGGGGTGAGATCCGTCCGGGTGATTGTTGGTCATCGCTTTCCGGCGGTGGATCGCTGGAGCCGGTTGAGATCCGCCACGGTGCATTGTGGGGCTCGGTGTCGTAGTGGCCACCGTTGACACAGCCCAAAGGAATCCGATCGTCAATCAAAACAAAGAGGTTATGCAGTGAGGGAAAAAAGTATTTGATCCCCTGCTGATTTTGTACGTTTGCCCACTGACAAAGAAATGATCAGTCTGTTATTTTAATGGTAGGTTTATTTGAACAGTGAGAGACAGAATAACAACAACAAAATCTAGAAAAACGCATGTCAAAAATGATATGCATTGATTTGCATTTTTATGAGGGAAATAAGTATTTGACCCCCTCTCAATCAGAAAGATGTCTGGCTCCCAGGTGTCTTTTATACAGGTAACGAGCTGAGATTAGGAGCACACTCTTAAAGGGAGTGTTCCTAATCTCAGCTTGTTACCTGTATAAAAGACACCTGTCCACAGAAGCAATCAATCAATCAGATTCCAAACTTTCCACCATGGCCAAGACCAAAGAGCTCTCCGAGGATGTCAGGGACAAGATTGTAGACCTACACAAGGCTGGAATGGGTTACAAGACCATTGCCAAGCAGCTTGGTGAGAAGGTGACAACAGTTGGTGTGATTATTCGCAAATGGAAGAAACACAAAAGAACTGTCAATCTCCCTCGGCCTGGGGCTCCATGCAAGATCTCACCTCGTGGAGTTGCAGTGATCATGAGAACGGTGAGGAATCAGCCCAGAACTACACGGGGATCTTGTCAATGATCTCAAGGCAGCTGGGACCATAGTCACCAAGAAAACAATTGGTAACACACTACGCCGTGAAGGACTGAAATCCTGCAGCACCCGCAAGGTCCCCCTGCTCAAGAAAGCACATGCACATGCCCATCTGAAGTTTGCCAATAAACATCTGAATGATTCAGAGGACAACTGGGTGAAAGTGTTGTGGTCAGATGAGACCAAAATGGAGCTCTTTGGCATCAACTCAACTCGCCGTGTTTGGAGGAGGAGGAATGCTGCCTATGACCCCAAGAACACCATCCCCACCGTCAAACATGGAGGTGGAAACATTATGCTTTGGGGGTGTTTTTCTGCTAAGGGGACAGGACAACTTCACCGCATCAAAGGGACGATGGATGGGGCCATGTACCGTCAAATCTTGGGTGAGAACCTCCTTCCCTCAGCCGGGGCATTGAAAATGGGTCGTGGATGGGTATTCCAGCATGACAATGACCCAAAACACACAGCCAAAGCAACAAAGGAGTGGCTCAAGAAGAAGCACATTAAGGTCTAGTGGCCTAGCCAGTCTCCAGACCTTAATCCCATATAAAATCCGTGGAGGGAGCTGAAGGTTCGAGTTGCCAAACATCAGCCTCGAAACCTTAATGACTTGGAGAAGATCTGCAAAAAGGAGTGGGACAAATTCCCTCTTGAGATGTGTGCAAACCTGGTGGCCAACTACAAGAAACGTCTGACCTCTGTGATTGCCAACAAGGGTTTTGCCACCAAGTACTAAGTCATGTTTGCAGAGGGGTCAAATACTTATTTCCCTCATTTAAATGCAAATCAATTCATTACATTTTTGACATGCGTTTTTCTGGATGTTTTTGTTGTTATTCTGTCTCTCACTGTTCAAATAAACCTACCATTAAAATTATAGACTGATCATTTCTTTGTCAGTGGGCAAACGTATAAAATCAGCAGGGGATCAAATACATTTTTCCCTCACTGTACGTGGAACAAGTCAGTGCATGGGGAAATGGACGACACTGAAAGCAGCTTCACTACCATCCCAGCGTGGATGGAAAAATCGATTCAGAGTCAGTCTCTTGGTTTAGACCAGAGGTTGGAATCTGACGAGCTATGAAGCTCTTTTTCACAGATGTCCAGTAGAGGCGGGGGTGGGGGCGGTTTGCCCAAGTGCATCCGACACTGCCCGTACATAACCTTTTTTTATATATATAGAAAAAAAACTGGTGGGACAAATCGTGTTCTGTCTGGCTTACACTTATAATCGGTTGACGTGCTATGCGCCAAATAAAAGCAACTCGGTGATTCTACGAAAGGTTACCCAAGAATATTAATAGGGTTACCCATTTCGATTTAAAGCTTTCTTGACTGCAGGGATTCATATTCTTGGTTCTTTCGGTAAAGTCACGTAGAAGGGAAATAATACAATAATAAAAATAAAACATATAATAAAATTCTCACGACGTTTCGGCCACAACGCAAGCAGCCGTCCTCAGGTGACGAAGCAGAGCTGTCAGAAAGACAGCCTCTTAATGAGACCTTCTACGTGACTTTACCGAAAGAACCAAGAATAGGGTTACCCATGTCGCTTCATTGTTTAAAACGTACATCTTAAATTGTTACGTGAAATCGAGTTTTTTGTGGTGGGGTTGTGAAATTATTCTACCTTTTCCAACGCTGAAGCCTTATGGGTGAGAAAAGAACCGAGCAGCAAACAAGACAAATGAGGCAAAAAAAAATCAATCGATTTGTAGAATCAAACCTCATCCTGCGAACCATTGCAGTCTAACAAAAAAAACGAAAAACATGTTTTTATTTTACCATGTTAGGCCCACTGATCCCGTATAGCTGTTTTTCATAAGCGACCTGGCTTTCACAAATGTTAACTCAGTTAAGTGGCTTATCATCATGTGGAAATAGAAACCAGCCAAATACTTTCAGTGCACGTTTCCAAATGTGGAGGGACAAACCGGGAGACCCGGAAATAATTCCACGTGACTGCGGGGAGAACATGCATACTGCAAATATGCATGCTTCGGGGGTCTGGATCGAAGCCACGGTCTCCTGTACACCAGGCGAGGTAGTTAACATCTCCTAGCCACCGTGGTGCCATCAAGTTGCTGGTGTGGGATCGTGGTGGTTCGGTAGTTCCGCCGCTGCTCAGCGTTACCAGGCGGTCCATCTGAGCCCTTGCAGCGTAACGAATGACACTGACTGCAACGCCGGCGTTGAGCCGAGCGAGACCAGAAATCATCGACTGTCGAATCCAACTCTGAGCCCGCAACTGTGGACGGTCGTGTCGCTGGGGTTGAGTTGGGGGGGGGGGGGGGTGGACGTTTCGGTGGGGTGGGTTGGATCGTTCTCTGCCCAATAACTCATTCTCTTGCTCGCTATAATAACTCTCTCTGGTCTTCACGTTTCTTCCTCCGCTGTTACCGCAGTCCAAGACCAAGGAGGGCAAGGAGAAGCCACCGCAGGGTGGGGCTCATCGCTTCGCCTCGGCCACCTTCTCCAGCCCCACGCACTGCTCGCACTGCGGGAAGGCGCTGGGAGCACGGGACGCCTTGCAGTGTCTCAGTAAGTCACCACGCACGCACGGCACGTGCCCCCGGCACGCTCTGTGGTACGCTCTGTGGTTGCCCTCTGCGGGTATGCTCTGCAGAACACACAGACCACCTGGGGCATGTCAACTGGATTCGATTCCCAGCTCGGGGCGCCTCTGTGTGGAGCGTTTGTATATTCTCTTTGTGTGGAGTGTTCTTTTCATGGTTTCCCCCTAGTTCAGCAATGGGTATCTTCCAGGTTTTACGATTTCTGTCGATGAAAATACACATGCACACACAATGTAACTGATATCGACCAATAAGATCCGCGTGCTGACAAATCACCTGGAAAGTTGCTCAATTGGGATTGCGCAGCAGCAGCATCGGCCCCCCCTACTGCAGCAAAACAAAAAAAAAGACTTGCAAGGACCCTCGTGTGAAAGTAACGAGACTCGGCCTTTCTCGGGTGAAATCCCGTAAATAGAAGGACAAAATCGATGCGACTAGATACGAATCGACATTTAGAAAGAGCGCACCCGCGGTGCAAGTCCGTATGGCCGTTGGCCATTTATTGCAAGGTTGCTGCTGCTGTATGCATTCCAGCAGAGGGCAGTGCAACAATATAAATTGTACTCTACTATGCCACAAGGTCTATGCTTCCGCCCCCAAGCCCCGTCTTTACCGTACTTATGAGTATGGTGAAGTATGGTCAAATAAACCCCACGACTCTTGAGGCATGGGGGCGGAAAGCCCTCTCATCCAGCAGTGGATTGAAAAAGGCCTCTGTCCATGCACTGCAAAAATACAAGCTGCAGACGGCAGAGGGCGGTAGTGCACCTGGCTGTGGGGGAGTAGCCATGCAATTTTTTTTTGTACCTAAGCAGATAACATTATTCCCAACGTCTATACGTCCCGTCCACATACAACATAAAAATATCTTCTTACATAATTTCAGCAGCATCGGTTCCTTACAAGCAAACTGTGGTCTGGTTTTTGGCACACAGTGTCTCGTCCAGCAGAGTGAGGCTCGTGTTGAATCGACGCTGGTGAACTGCCAGGTGTCCATAGGCAATGGAAAACCCCTTCCTTCTGACCTGGGTCCTAGTTTGGCGCGAAGTTGTACGGTGGGTCCTCGCTTAACGCGCGGTGTTCACACTATAACGTGCTTCCGTGATGACGCAGTTGTTACGGAACGCTTCTCGCACAACACGAAACGCGCGCACCGTTATAACGCCGAGCGCACACACCGTTATGGCGTGTAGCGCACACACCGTTATAGTGTGGAGCGCACACACCGTTATAACGCCGAGCGCACACACCGTTATGGCGTGTAGCGCACACACCGTTATAGTGTGGAGCGCACACACCGTTATAACGCCGAGCGCACACACCGTTATGGCGTGTAGCGCACACACCGTTATAGTGTGGAGCGCACACACCGTTATAACGCCGAGCGCACACACCGTTATGGCGTGTAGCGCACACACCGTTATAGTGTGGAGCGCACACACCGTTATGGCGTGGAGCGCACACACCGTTATGGCGTGGAGCACACACACCGTTATAACGTGGAGCGCACACACCGTTATAGCGTGGAGCGCACACACCGTTATAGCGTGGAGCACACACCGTTATGGCGTGGAGCACACACACCGTTATGGCGTGGAGCACACACACCGTTATAGCGTGGAGCGCACACACCGTTATAGCGTGGAGCGCACACACCGTTATGGCGTGGAGCGCACACACCGTTATAGCGTGGAGCACACACCGTTATGGCGTGGAGCGCACACACCGTTATGGCGTGGAGCACACACACCGTTATGGCGTGGAGCACACACACCGTTATGGCGTGGAGCACACACACCGTTATGGCGTGGAGCGCACACACCGTTATGGCGTGGAGCGCACACACCGTTATGGCGTGGAGCACACACCGTTATAGCGTGGAGCGCACACCGTTATAGCGTGGAGCACACACACCGTTATAACGTGTAGCACACACCGTTATGGCGTGGAGCACACACACCGTTATAACGTGTAGCACACACCGTTATGGCGTGGAGCACACACCGTTATAACGTGGAGCACACACCGTTATAGCGTGGAGCGCACACACCGTTATAGCGTGGAGCACACACACCGTTATAACGTGTAGCACACACCGTTATGGCGTGGAGCACACACACCGTTATAACGTGTAGCACACACACCGTTATAGCGTGGAGCACACACACCGTTATAGCGCGGTTACTGAGCGGCCGACGACGAACTGTTCTCTTGAGCTGCGTGGCTGAGTGGAGTGGTACCGAGTGATACCGAGTGATACCGAGCGTGGAGTGATACAGTAACGCGGCGGCGGGCCTCGAGTGTGCAGGTCCATTGTATCTCGCCAAACTTTATCGCTACCTTCGTTATGGGGAAATTGTTTTATCTTACGGTGTTCAGGCAGAGGTTGGCATTTTTACTTGAGAAACAGAGGCGCAGGGACGGTCGTAGGCAGAGGAGACTTTTCTTTTTTTTTCTCTGTCTTCAAAATGCTTGGCGCAAAGATTTCCAATGTCAAATCACTTGACGGTAAGCTTAACTGTGGCCGTGCGGCATCGCCCGCCCGCTCGGCGTTTTCCTTTCTCGCGTCTCTCTGGGACGCGGCGCGCCGTGGTTCCGCTCCTCACGACACGCGTCGAGAGGAGCCGTCAGTAATCAAATGCGGCCCCCGTGAAATCGCGGCCCCCGCGAAACGTTTGGGCCGTGGCAATTGCACGGGAAGGGACCTCGTTGTTTCCGGTTTTTTCCCCCCGCCGATTTTGCCAGACCGAGACGAGACATCATCCCCGGCGTGTGCCAGGGTTTCGGGAGCGACGCCGACTCTCGTTACAAACCCGGCGTGCGAGCGCTATTCGTTCCTCCCTCTGCCCCCCCCCCACCTCCCACCTTGAAAGCTATCTCTTCAATAAAACTCAGCCTGCAAAGTACGGGCGGAGTACACGTGGCGATTGGAGAGCACAAAGAAACCGCCAGGCCCCTGCTGTGCAGCCACGGTTGTGGCACACGGAGGAGGGCCCACCGAGAGTATCTTTGGCTATGCTAATCGCTTGCTGCCTCCCAGATTCACTTGCGGCAGTGGGGGGGCGGCGGCGGCGGCGGCGGTGGGAGGGAGAGAGTAGGGCCGGGTGCCGGTGGGTGAGAAATGGGAGGAGCAAGCTTGCCCCTGACGATATGGAGGTATGTTCTGGTTGGGTGTTGGTCGTGTACCTTGGCCAGTGAGAGGCAATTGAGCCTACGGGGCGGAGGGAAGAACGGCGGGGGGGGAGAGAGAGAGAGAGCCGAGAGAGGAAGAGGGGACTAGGCCAACAAGAGAGGCAGAGCTGAGGCTGAAAAAAAAACGAGGACAGCTCAAGCGAGAGGGGAACGAGGCTTTGTGGTGGTGGTGGCGGCGGCGGCGGCCGCTGTGGTCTCCGGTTCCGTGGCCGCGCCGCGGTGAGCGCCTGCTCGCCTGCCTTCGCGAGTTTGGGATTTTCTATTTTCTTATTTTTCGACGTTGAGGACGGGGTCGGCGGGGCGGAGGGGGGGCCTGACCGTTCCCGACGTCTCTCTCCATCTCTCTCCATCTCTCTCCATCTCTCGTCGTGCGCGCTGGGGGTAAGTGTCGGTCTGGGGCAACGGCGAGTGGGGGGGGGGGGCGCCGCCCGGCCACTCGCTCGCGCTCCGTCATTCGTCCTGGCTGCCCTTATTTATTTTCTCGTTTGTAAGCCGTACGTGGAATGCGGGGGCGACGCCGGCGCGGGCTCCGGCTGCCGCCACCACCGGTGATGCCGCTGCCGTTGCCGATTGTCGGTGTGGGACTCTGAGCGGGTGGTGGGGGGGCGGGCCCACAGTTGAATATTGTCAAGCCCAGATGGACGAGCGAGGAAGCACAGCAGCGAGGGAGGCGACAGGGGAGAGCGAGATCGTCTGGGGACGTTTGCCTCTTTGTCGTGAGCGGCCCTTCTTTAAACGTCTCTTGATTTGCAGGACCGGCCACAGCGCGTGTGTGTCTGTGCGCGTGTGTGTATGTGTGCGTGTGTGTATGTGTATGTACCCGGCAAAACAACCCCCTACCTCCTCGCGGTGCCGGACGGGCAACTCTGTCGTGGACAGTGCTGTGGGGGGAGTTCCAATTTTGATTGGCTCCTCCCCTCATGGCATATGTGTCCACCACAGGGGCTAAACGGGGGCTCTGGACGGGTGCGAGGGGCTGGTAACCCCTCCACCTTCAATTAATTACCACAAAACCACGAATTAAAGTGAAATATGTAACAACTAAGCTTGTGCCGGAGGCCCCGGGGGGCCAGGCGTCTATGACGTCTCCTGGCCAAACCCCAATTGGCGGAGCCAGGAGATTGAATACCTACCCTCGGGGCTACTCCAGAAACAACGAAAAGCCACTACGGGTGGCCACGTGGAATGTTCGAACGCTCACTGCAGAGGAGAGGCTGCCACTCCTCTGTCGGGAGCTGGACCGGTACCGCCTGGATCTATGCGGCATTCAGGAGGTCCGGTGGACCGGCTCTGGCTCCTGCCACCATGAGGGGTGGACAGTCCTCTACTCGGGGCAGCAGACTGCCAAACAACAGGGTGTGGGTCTTCTTTTGAACAAAAGAATGAAGGGGGCGTGGGAGCGTGGCGGTGAGGTGTGGGAAGCTGTAAGCCCCAGGCTACTTTGGGCTCGCCTTCCCATCAACCGGAGGCGAGGAATGGTGGTCGTGGTTACTTATGCCCCCACCGAAGATGAACATCCGTGGAGGGATGCAGGCAAAGCCGATGAGTCAGATGCCTTCTATGACCTCCTGTCACAGGTGCTGGCTAAAGTGGCCCCTCGGGATAGAGTCATCATGTTGGGTGACTTCAATGCCCGAGTTGGTCATGATACTGGCACCTGGTCTGGAGTGATTGGAGGGCATGGGCCAGATCAGCTCAATAACAATGGTAGGAGGCTGCTAGATTTTTGTGCAGCCCATGGGCTTGTAATTACCAACACGCTGTTCCGGCATC